AAAGCAGCTATCCCCATAAGGTACTCAAGAGGATTTGTGTCTCCAATATTTCTGAGAAAGAAACCGAATGGAGATTACAGAATTATAATAAATTTAAAGAACCTCAACAATTACGTGAGCACTCCAAGATTTCACCTCCCAAACTTATATTCAATGCCAAATCACCTGTGGGAGAAAGATTACATGCTGAAGATAGACATTTCTCAGGCATATTACCACATCCCAGTCACTCAAGCACACCAACGGTACTTAACATTCCAGCACAATCAGTCATTTTTCCATATGACATGTCTTCCATTCGGACTCGCAAGTGCCCCGTCAGCATTTGCGAAGATCACAAATTGGTTAGCACAGTACCTAAGAGAGAACCAACTAAAAGTGATCGTGTACTTAGACGATTTTCTGCTGATGCACGAAGATCCAGAGATCTTATTCCAGCAAGGACGCTTCGCGGTAGAGCTTTTGGAAAGTCTCGGATGGTGCGTGAACCATTCCAAGTCTATAACTACACCTACGCGCTGCGTCGAATACTTGGGTATAATCTGGGATACAGAGAGAAACTTGAAGCACTTGCCACCACAAAAAATAAAAGCATTTCAAACGCACATCACGAAACTTCTCAAAGTGGGCCACTGGAACTGGTGGGACGCAAAAAGCATAGCAGGGAAGCTAAATTTTGCTGCAGAAGTAGTACCTTTAGGTCGCCTACACTGCAGAAATATCCAGAGATCATCAAAACACCTACCAAAGTCAAACCGTCGCAAAGTAGTAACTATCGACCAAGCCGCCAGGGAAGACCTCACATGGTGGACTCGAAATGTACACAAATCTTCTCCTATTCAACGGAAACCAGCATCAGCCTTCATAACGACAGATGCAGCAGACACAGGGTGGGGAGCTTTAATGAACAGCAAGAAATTGAAAGGAAGATGGAACGACAAACAAAAAGCCTGGCACTCCAACCAGAAGGAACTCTGGGTACTTTACGAAGTTCTCCAAAGAGAGAAAAAGTTCCTGAGAGGGAAATCGATTATCTTCCAATCCGACAACCGAACAACCATAGCCTATATCAACAAACAGGGGGGGACGAAATCAACTATCCTATTGAAGACAGCTTCGAAGATACTAAACCTAGCTGCGCAACTGAAAATCACTATAACAGCCAGATATCTCCCAGGGAAATTAAATGGCATTGCCGACAGCTTATCAAGGCAAAATGCTCTACCAGAATGGCACTTAAGCGAAGCAATTCTTGGCCAAATCTTCCAGAAGCTTGGAACTCCACAAGTAGACCTGTTCGCTTCAAAACGTTCGGCAGTCGTATCCAATTATGTAACCGAAGATGTCTCGGACCGGAACAGCCTATACACGGACGCCTTCAGTCGAACATGGAATTTCAAACTGGGGTGGGTCTTCCCACCGCCAGCACTAATACCAAGAGTTCTTCGCCATCTCAACAAGTGCACGGGGACTTACCTGCTTGTAACCCCGGAATGGACAAATGCATTCTGGATGCCGATGTTGGAAAACAGATCTACCAGCAAACCCCTCCGGCTGGAGAATCTGCGGACTCACCTTGTAGACTTACGGACCCAAAAACCTCCACGGGGGATAGACACAATAGTTTTGCAGGTATGGCACATACAGGCTGGTCCAATTTCGTTAACCCCTGGCCTACCGAACTCAAACACGTAGTGGAAAAGTCTTGGCGACAATCTAGCATCAAAACATACCGACCAGCTTGGGAAAAGTGGGTCGCATGGGCCTCAAAAGAAGATGTCTCTGTAAAAGAACCAAAAGCAACAGACTTAGCACGTTATCTCGGATTCCTACATACCAAGATGAAGCTGGCGCCGAACACCATAGCACTACATAAATCAGTAGTATGCACTTTTACGAATCCAGATGCTACCGCATCGATCGGCTCGCACCCTCTGGTCAAACACATGCTGAAAGGCATCAGTTTGGAAGGGCGGAAACGTTCTAGTAGACTTACCTGGAACGTAAACGAATTTACTGAGTGGTTAAAGTGCTACAAATTAAATGAGGATAGCATCTTTCAAGTCAGCAGACATCTAGCTATCCTGTTACTTCTAGCCACAGGTCGAAGAATCCACGATCTAACTTTATTAAATATAAGCGAAGAGTTCCTTGAAATAACAGATAAAAGTATTAAATTATGGCCTAAATTTGGCTCAAAAACAGATACCTGTACATACATACAATCAGGTTGGGAAATAACAATGAACCCAGTCAAAAACTTAGACCTCGTTACCTGGACTAGACGCCTACAGGAAATATCAGAACCAAGACGAAGAAACAAAGGTATTACAAATTTGTTTATAACAACCCGCGGTAAAGTCGCCCCAGCTTCAAGATCAGTGATAGCGGGATGGATACGCACACTGTTCAAAGAAGCCAACATAAATGCCTCTCCAGGTAGCTGCAGATCAGCCGTTGCTACCGGTAATTGGTTACGCGGGTATACAAACATAGAAGAAATTATGAAAAAGGGTAATTGGCAAACTGCAAAAACATTCTTCAATCATTATCTCAAACCAATCAACCCTAAAGTCCCAAATACAATCAGTAATAACCTTTCAGATAATTTTGCGTTAATCGACTGACTTATTATACTTGTGATAAGTAGTCAAAGTTCCTTTAATCAAGAATAAGAATTATTTATTTTTGTTAGCATGATGATTATATTACTCTGTTTAAGAATAAATACACTTTATTCATACATTCCCTTTTTATTATATTATAAGTAAACTTTAACAGTTAATCACAGTACGCTCATTCAGCGCCGGCAGATAAGAAACACGTCTCAAGGTGGATCAAGCCTCTAGGCTCGAACACCTAAATAGCAGCGTTTTCCCCCCGAAGGGCAGAAAACGCTTATTTAGGTTTCAGCCGTTCGGCTTGATCCACCATAATTTTCAGTGCCTTGCCGGCTTGCAAATTGTACTGACCAATACACCGCCCGCGCTGAATGAGTCCCCTCCATTAGAGTGAAGTTGATACACTTCACACTTGCGACAGAGGGCGCTACTATCAAAAAGAGCTAACTTCACGCTGTAATAACGTCAGAATGTACATGCGTAGTCTCAAGGTGGATCAAGCCGAACGGCTGAAACCTAAATAAGCGTTTTCTGCCCTTCGGGGGGAAAACGCTGCTATTTTGACATTACAAACAGACATTTCAATTTTAATTATTTGTATAGAGTATAGATATAGATGATGATACTTTTAATCACTGTCATCAGCTATCCTTTTATGTCCGGTCCACATCATAATTGGCTCCAATGCATTTCTCGTGTTTTACAAAATCACCATGTTTGGTAGCCGAAAAAAATTAAAATGAAATATTTCAAGGACATGTGAGGTTGACCTGTGCGTAGTACTGGACCATACAATCCTCTCAATGTATACATATAAATAAAATGGAATTGTCTGTCTGTAATATTGAAATAACTGGTTTCTATTACGCTCAGTTGGTTATTTGCCTGTCATTAGGACATAAATAACCAATTGTTTGTGCGTGTCTGTTTGTCTATCTGTTCGGGCTAATCTTCGGAATGGCTGAACCGATTGTGATGTAACTTTACTAACATATAGAAAGCTGTGCCAGGAGGGTTGTAGGCTATATTTTATCCAAAAAAATTGAAGATTTTTTTTTGTAAAACGAAAAATTTGTGAAAAAATTGTCTTCAATTATCTTAAATCTTTTTATAACGCCACATTAATAGATACTATCAAGGCAAAGTTAGAACCAGTCGACAGCTAAAAATTAAGAATCATTTACCTTTAGAATCTCTAAGCATCTAATTAGATTAATTATTCTAACGGCGTAAGAACTTGTCAAATAGAACGTTTCCCCTTTAAGAAAGCCAGTCCAAAATTAAAAATTCCTGCGACGCTTAAACCCACTTCATTAACGGGAGATGTGAAGGAATCCACGGTCCGATTTCACAGTGAGTTGAAGCGTGCTTTGAACTGCGTCTAACATTGTTTGAAAGTAGTTAAGCAGGATATTACTTACAGTTAAGTTACTATCTCAAATTCAAATGAGTTGCTCAAATATGCTACAAAAATTTGTCAACAAATATATACACATTTTTTTATAGGACAGGGTGACAAACGAGCACATATGCCACATGATGGTAAGTGGTTGCTGTGACCCATAGACATCTACATCTATCCTCGTTTGCGAATTAAAATGCAGATGCGTTGTCACCCGTGAGGACTAAGATGGAATGCCTCTTTTCCAGTGAAAAGGGTCTCCGGTTCTCTACACTTACCATACGAAACACTGTGAAGCTGCTATTTTACGCTGGTATTCTGTGAGAGCGTGGTCCTTCCCCGGTCTAGCCGTCCCATTCGTGCTACAACTATACTACTAATATAGCTGCATCATGGCTCTACCACGTTGAACTCTGTTAGTTATATCACATCCTGTTATTTTATACAAATTTTTGGATTGTATACTATTATTTTGAAATATTGTCTTCCAAACTGGATTTCGGTCACGACGGCCAGGCTGACTGCCTCATTAGTTTAATGGTCGTAAATATGGTGTTGATGATGATGTCCCGGGTTGGAATCCCGGGTCGGAGCAAAATCAGTAAATGGAGTTTTTCTGTCAAAAAATTATCAGTAGAAGCCCAAAGTCAGGAAGTTGGTTGTGTTTCACACCCGTGCCTCAGAAGGCATCTTAAACCGTTGGTCCTGCGCATGATCTCTCTCCAGTCCAATCGTCCCATTGGAATACGAGAGTAAGTGAATAGAGAATGATCTTGTGCTTGCGCATATAATCGTGCACTGTAATCCTGTGCAAATGGCTAGTCTCCGTTGAAACTAGCTGTGACTTATACGGTCTGGAGGACATTATTATATAAAAATATCTTTCGTAATTTCTCATAAGACGAAATGGTACCACAGATTATCTTACGCCGCGACAATAAGTAGATGAACTATCATAAAAATAATATTAGGCGTACAAACGAAAGCTCTCTGCGACGGTGTTCTTCACAGGCCAAATGGCGGTCGAAATGTACGTGTTTGTTGAAATCTTCACGCTGTAGTTATAGAAATACGTGCGCTCGCAAGTCTCAGGTTCGTACAGGTATAGTAGCTTGATCAATGTCACTTCACTTAGCTCGGATGATGAAGGAGATAATTTGCAGTCAAGAGTCAGCCAGCTAATTATAACGCATAGTACCGCTGCAAAATACGTAAGATAAAAAGTAAAGTAGTTGTCTAACTGGTCCTTTTCTAACCTTTTTTTTATAGGATAAAGGTGACAAACGAGCACACAGTCCACCCGATGGTAAGCGGTTGCTGTGGCCCATAGACATCTATATCTATCTTCGATTACGAATCAAAATGCAGATATATTGTCACCCGCGAGGACTAAGATGGAATGCCTCGTTTCCAGTTAAAAGGGTCTCCGGTTCTCTACACTCACCATACGAAACACAGCAGCGTTAAGCTGCTATTTTACGCTGGTATTCTGTGAGAGCGTGGTCCTTCCTCGGTCGAGCCGACCCATTCGTGCTACAGCTATACCACTAATAAATCTGCATGGCTCTAACACGTTTAAAAAAGTCCAAATGTATCCCACTGGTCTTGACCTCGTCCTATTGGATATGTTTGAATTGTTCGTTATTGCATAATGTTAATGTTACTTTAATGTTAATGAAAAAAATTATTACATTTAGTATGTACGTACATATTTTTATGAATCTGTAGTGATAAACGAAGTGATTGTCCACCTGGTAGTAAGCGACTACAGCATTTCATGGACTCCTGCAGCCAATGTCAAACAACGACAACGTATGACTAAGATAAAATGCCTCATGGGCCGAGAACGCAGCAGTGTAAGCACTTAACACACCAAAATAGGCAAGAATATGTTACCTCCCTGAAGACAAACTCCAGGGGTGAAATGGGGTCCTACCAATTAGTAAACCTACTAAGTGGTAGGACTCATACTATCTATTATAATATTAATCTATATATCTCTAGATATGATATATAGATCTATAAACAAACCTATATTCACCAAATAAATGAAAATGAATTAAAATCTCATTTTGGTAAGGGTTTTGGTTTTGAATTCACACGCTGTCAAAATATCTTTTAATTTCTCAGAAGTCAAGGTTTCCATACAATTATTTATTTTACTATCGAGTACAAGGTAACTTGAGATTTCTATTTTATATTTACTTAAAAATATTAGCTAACTCACTTTGATACAAAATTATTACTAAAGTCCAAATTCCTAGAGAATTCATCTCCAAAAAACTATGTACTTCATACTTTCGACATCAGAAACTAATATTTTAAATTATTCTTTTAGCTTCATATCGAAATGTCTCTCAACAATCAAACTGTGAATTAACTTCAAGTGGGCAATGCACCGATTCAATATCACAAATATTTCGAGTTGTGTTTTGATTACTGGCAGTGTTGATGAAAAAGAAAATGCGGTTAGTTGTACAATAAAGTAGCGTTGCCAACTCTACGGATTTCCCGTAGATCTACGCAATTTTTTCATCGTCTACGGAACTACGGAATTTGAGTTGAAATCTACGCACTTTGATTTCCATGTTAATTAATTATTTTTTTGTACTTGACAGTCCTTTCAGAATAATTCGATTTTTTAAAACTTAACAAAAAAATATTTTTTATCATGAGTGTGAACTTAGCCGACAACTGACAATCGAAAATTTTATTAATTCATATCTCAGCGGGAAAAATGGATTTGATAAATAAGAAAAGCAGATATGCTTTTTAGGGTTACGTACAAAAAGGGTAACCAACAGGACCCTATTATGAATCTTATTAAATTATAAATTTATGTATTTTTAAGTAACAATGTGAAATGAAATAAAAATAAAACAATATTATTATGATATTTTCAACATTATTTCTTAGTTAGAGAATTAGTTGTTTTTTGCAATGTAGTTTAGCAACCTTGACAATAGATGACGGCCTCTTCACAAAATGATTATAAAACCTATAAAATAATATTTTGGCGATTAAAATTTGTTTAGGACTGAATGCAAAACAAATTTCAGCACCTTCGTATGAATATTTTACCAATACATAACTCTACGTACCTTTATAATTTTAGATCCCATAACACAAAGTGTCGCCATCTAGTGTCGAATATATTTAATTATATTTGAAAGCCGAGGCAGATTTTTTATAGGATCGGGTGACAAACGAGCACACAGTCCACCTAATGGTAAGTGGTTGCTGTGGCTCATAGACATCTACATTTATCCTCGTTTGCGAATCAAAATGCAGATGCGTTGTCATCCGTGCGGACTAAGATGGAATGCCTCTTTTCCAGTAAAAAGGGTCTCCGGTTCTCTACACTCACCATACGAAACACAGCAGTTTAATACCGCTATTTTACGCTGGTATTCTGTGAGAGCGTGGTCCTTCCCCGGTCGAGCTACGATTTGTGCTACAAATATACTACTAATATAGCTGCAGCATGGCTCTACCACGTAGAAAATTTTAGGGCTGAATCTGAATGACAGGGTGAGAAATTGTTTGATAAAAAATAGAGTTTGCTAGATGATTTTTGTAATCAGGATTAAGAAAGGAATGCTTTGCTGGCAAGACCATGTAGAGTGAAGGAATGAGGAAAGAGTGACCAAGCAAATTTATGTTGCAGAAATAAACGGTAGATTCGGCAAGGGACACCCCAGATGAAAGTTTATCGACCAAATTAGCAATATATTTAAATGGGCAAATTAAGAGTACACTTAATCGACGAGAATATATGCGTAGGTATATGGAGGTGACTTATCCTGGTAAGCAATGTAGGATGTCGATGGATCCTATGCCTATGTTCAGCAGTGGATTTGTAAAGAGCTGCAATGATAATGATGATGATGATGATGATGGAGGCGAGAGAGGTGTGTCGGGATAGTGACCAAATGGAAGTGAATGACTATACATATATTTAAAAGTCAATTTTTCTTTTTATTAAATTTTGTTTAAAGTTTGACCGCTATATTCGTGTGTCTGTCTATAGCACCGTAGGTCTTAAACGGATGAACCGATTTGGGTGCGGTTCTTTTTATTTAAAAGCAGGTTTACTAGCGGTGGTTCTTAGACATGTTTTATCAAAATTGGCTCAGCGGTTTCAAGGTCGTCAACTGTTTTGTTAGCTGCGGTAGAGTTATGTATTTTCGGGGGTCTTTGTAATTTTCAATTTAAGTTTTTTAAAGTTCTACTTTTTTATTTATAATTTTGGTTATATGAAAGAGCGTAACAGACGTGGAGTACATTGCACCTAGCTCCCCGATGTGTCTACGTTAATTACACGTCGCAGTTTTACGGCTTCCCTCCAGACAGCGCGGTAGACGTATTTACGCCCCTTTTCCTTTTCTTACTGGGATTAAAATTGTACGTGGAAGGCTTCGTTCGAATCTACTCAATGACAGTAGTCTCGTAAAAATATGTGAAATAAAGTTTAAAGATGCGAGAGGTTATATGTTTGTAGTGTGTATCTGTGTATATGCCTATCTGTGTATCTGTGTGTCTGTCTGTGACGTCATAGCTCCTGAACGGATTAACGGATTTTGATTAAGTTTTTTGTCGTTTAAAAGGTGCCTTGTTTCTTAGCTATGTTTCAAAAAAATCTGATCAGCCATTTGAAGGTCATCAGCTGTTTTTTATGTCGGGGTTTATAACATTTTTAATTTAATTTATTCTATACAAGTAATGTGATAAATGGTATTACGGGTGACAAGCAAACACAATTCACCTGATGATAAATAAATGCTCTGGCCCATAGATATATACATCTATCATCGATTGAGAATCACAATGCAGATGCGTTGTCAACCCTGAAAGCCAAAATGGAATGCCTACTTTCCAGTGAAAATGGTCTCCAGTTTCCTACACTCACCAAACGAAACACAGCAGCATTAAGCTGCCATTTTACGCTGGTATTCTGTGAGAGCGTGGTCTTACCCCGGTCGAACCGACTCTTTCGTACTATAACAATAATGTAGCTGTAGCATGGCTTTATCACGATGGCAGCTTTTAAAAAGGAGTAAGCTCGTTTCTTGAAGGTACCTAAATCGTGTCGGTCCGGAAAAATAGCCGGTGACAAACGATTCCACAAAATAGTAGTGCATAGAAAAAAACTCCTAGGAGAATTATTAGTAAATAGCATAGTGGTGATATAGAATTATTTCGAACAATTAGTTTGAGCATAAGCACTCTTCGTGGTAAATGCGATAGAAAATGCAAAGAAATAAAACGTCTCTTCGAGTGAATCGGAGAACTCGGTCGACGATGATTCGGGCATCTACAATTATTTGTGTTGTAATCTCCGAAATACGATCTCATTTTCTGGTCACTATCCATATGAAACAGCAGCATTTTCAGCTATTTTTCACTGGTTTACTATCAGAGCATGATACTTCTTTTTTTTTAAAAAACGTTACCATCTTACAAGGATTTTCTCTTGTATTGTGGAGGCAGTTTACAAACAAACTGCACAAGGACAAACCGGGTTCCGTATGGGATTCAAACCTGCGGCTCTCAGCGCCGCAACTCTAGCTAAGCCATTGCGCCACGGAGCCGTCATTCCTCGTTGAGTTGATCTATTCATGGTGAAGTCTTAATAATATTGTCTTTTCTTGTCTTCTTCTTTCTTTATCGGCCTAGTAAACGTATCTTTAAAAGTCCGCCGCTGAACATTGACCTCGGTCAGTGTAATAAATTTACGTCTGAGGATGGTTCCCTCTTACGACATCCATGAAACGAACGATGATGGATTTTCTTACACCACATAGCAGTCTCGAGTGCTAAGATGAAACTCTCCACAGTCTCTAATTATACCACATGTAACAAAAAAGCCTGTGGTTCTCGTTAAGTGTGTTATCAGCATCATAATTCAAACGTTTAGAAATAACTTTACTTCAGAAAAATTGACCTTGAAATTGAAATTGATAAAACAATAAATTATTATTTGCAAATTGCACGTGGGTTTTTTACCTCTGCATTGGCCGGGGAGTAAGAGTACTGTCCACTATAATGCTATGTATATCGACGCGCGTGTCAGTTAGTTCAGATGTAAATAACATTTTTTCACAAGATTGAATTTAATAAAATACCTTTATTGAAGACCGAAAAATTTAAATATCATAAATGCTATGCCTATATACGTGCCTAAAAGGATCACCGGATTGTTTGTTACATACTACATGATACCAATATTTGTTCCGTATACCAAGTCGTTTGTTTTCTGTTTGTAACACTAGAGTGACTGATGACGTTACATTCCTTATGATAATAAGGGGTTACTGCAGGTCATAGACAAGGACTTTTTTATAGAATAATTCATATCTTTGTAAAACTTGACCCATAAACACCTCGACTATCCTTGATTGGGTATCAAAATGTATTCTGTATAACACTCATTATAATATAGATAGAATATCTAGTTACAAGTAAAAAGGGTCTCCGGTTATCTCCACTTACCATATGAAACACATCAGCATAAAGCTATTATTTTAGGTTGGTATTCTGTGAGAGCGTGGTCCTTCCCCGGTCGAACCGCCTCATTCTTGCTGCAACCATAATATAGGTGTAGCGTGGTGCTACTACGTAAAAGATTCCAAGAATTAAGTCGTAATGCTCCACAGCCTGTTTTTGGCGATCTTGGGTAAGCTTTAGAACGTAAGTTGAACTATTAATAGGCAGAAGAAATAGGTGGAAATGTAGTTGGTTTTCTTTTATTTTATACAAGAAACGTTACCTTCACACTAGTATTTTCTCCTGTACTTGGGTGTACTTTACATACATGACTCCTAAGCAGAATGGAGCCCTTAAAACTTGTAAATAAACATATGTTTTATATTCAAATGCGAGCAATTTCTCTCAAACAAGCTTTGTTCCATATTCCATTGTTCGTTGAGCGTATTGTAAAGAGAACATTGTACTGGCATTTGGTTGGATTAAGTTATATCCGGATATAATTGTACCAATGATTATGTCGTCCTGACCATAATATGTCTGCTAATTATACACGCTTGTCCTTTATGTACGTTGCACAACTGTAATAAATTACAGTGTCAGTATTAATAATGTTCTCCAGACATAATTTTGGTCACAGCGGCCGGTCTCATCGGAGATTAGTCATCTACGAGAGACAGGATTAAGGTGCCCAAGTGTTCTGGTAAGTTTTTTTTATAGGATAGTGTGACAAACGAGCACACAGTCCACCTGATGGTAAGTGGTTACTGTGACCCATAGACATCTACATCTATCCTCAATAAAGACTCAAGATGCAGATGCGTTGTCACCCGTGAGGACTAAGATGGAATGCCTCTTTTCCAGTAAAAAGGGTCTCCGGTTCTCTACACTCACCATACGAAACACAGCAGTTTTAAGTTGCTATTTTACGTTGGTATTCTGTGAGGGCGTGGTCCTTCCCCGGTCGAGCCAACTCATTCGTGCTACAACTATACTACTAATATAGCTGCAACATGGCTCTACCACGTATAAAAACGTGTAAGCACAGGTGCACTCCCTATTCCCTCATTCTAATGCAACGGTTATCCGACACTACCCGAGAGAGATCAGGCGCGGGAACAACGGCTTTACGAACTTTCTGAGGCTCGAGGATAAAACACAGCCAACTTCTTGTTTTCAGGCTACTGAGGGTATCTACACCAGTAAAACTCAATAACTCATTTTTGCCTCGATCCAGGATCAAACCCACTAGATCAACAAGGCAATTATAGTGTGTCAACATAAAAGGTATCAGTATTACGGTCGTAATTACAATGAGGGAGAATAATATTTCGCTCACCAGATGTCGCTAGATGGGACTGAGGTGAAGTTATTTGTTACGCAGTATCACTTTAATTTGAGAATTAGCGTTTTAAACAAAAGTTTATTGGCTTCTAGAGTATGTAAATAGACAAAACAATGCCTCAGTGGTTTGCTCTTTAACTTTTCGCACATTTTTTGGGGTTCCGCACCCAAAAGGGGGACCCTATTACTAAGCCTCCACTGTCCGTCCGTTCGTCCGTTCGTTCTTCCGTCCGTTTGTCAGCGGGCTGTATCTCATGATGCGTAATAGGTAGACAGTTGTAATTTTCACAGAATGTGTATTTCTTTTGTTGCTATAATTACAAATAATAAAAATTAAAATAAATTAATAATTAAAAGGGGCTCCCCTACTAGAAACGTGTATTACGATGATACATAACCCTACATGCGCGAGTCCATTCGTCCAGTCGCATTTGGCCGGTTATTCAACTGTCTTTTCAATTATTCTAGTTTTAGAACCGTAGTTCGGTTTATTAATTTCTAATCAAATGAATATGAAATTTAACGAATATTTCAGAAAGTCACATTAACACTTACACTTTCTTATAGATTTGACTGGCCCAACTATGAAATTTGTCAAATAATTCACCTCACTCGTTGATACCCCAATGATTTCTTATATTTACACAAAAACTTTCCATTGAATAAAACTAATCATACGGATTTTATCGCGTCTAATTTACTTGTTTAACTTATTCTTAAATCAAAATAAAAGTTGCCAAACTTTGCCAATCGGACTAAATGTATTGAAAAAAAAAACCTGTTCAAATATCAAGCAATCGTTTTGAAATTGAGTTTAAACATTTCGCCATGGAACGAAAAATGCTAATTACACATGACATGTGTGTCACTCTTTTTGTATTCTTTTTCTTGTGTTGCTTAAATAAACTGAAACAAAGGTAACGAAATTACCAAACTTAAGTTTGAAAATTACCAAATCAAGACAGTCATTGTGATGCTAATAACTTAACAAAATTTTCTAACATAATTACAAATATTCTCTGTTGAGACGGTTTGGTTTTGTTTTGTCCTACTTGAAATTGATTTAACCTAACTAATTTTAGGTTCTGAAGTTTGGACAAATAAACAAAATATCGTTAATAAGAATCGTTTATTTTTAGAATAAATTACATAAATATTTTGACATCTCTTTAACGAAACAAGTGAATACAAATGTAAGCACTATCTACAGTTTCTTGGGATCGCCACACATTAAAACATTAATCAAACGACTAATGACTTTCACTTTCGTCACTATCACTGAGATTAAACGACCAAAAAGATCCTTTTACGACCATATTGGTTTAAATGTATTCACTTGTTACGTATATACTTAAATAACTTAGAATAACTGCACGTAAGCAGCTGACTGATACTGTGGTACGGCGGTGTAAACGTAGATCGGGGCGCGATCCTCATTTTTGTACTGGAGACGCGCAGTGTAAGCCATGTTTCGTATATCATTTTCGGTTTGGTACTGAACTCTTTGCAGCTGGGAGCCAGGCAATAGCACGTAATAAGCTCCTTGAGCACTCACAACCTCAGCGTCATTCTTCGGTGCCTCCTCAAGTTTTTGTTTCTTATCAGCAATCTCATCCTTTTTTCCGCTCTCAAGGTTTTCGACGTCTTTTTCTTCACCATCCTTGCTTTTGCCCTCAGCGTCTGGAGGTCCATACTCTGATTGAGGAGCTGCGTAAGTATTTAGAGGTGCACCATAACTTGTATCTGGAACACCGTATGAAGTTGAAGGTGGTGACAATTCTTCACGAGTCGGAAGGTTGAAAGCTACCGCTGGTCTGAAACCAGCTGCAGGGTAAGGAGCGTATCCATTTTGCTGTGTATCCTGTTGTCTGTCTTCTTGTCCTGCTGAGTTTAACCTCGCTTGTCTGTAGCGAGGTGGTTCAGCTACTGCCACGGCTGCGAAGAGGAGAACACAAGCGAAAGTCTTCATGATTGTTGGTGCTTCGACTGTTTGCAGACGAATGATACTGCGTTCTAAAACGGCTGTGCTTTTATACATATCCCAGAGCCGACTGAGTTTCTTGTCTAAGTTTCCGATATGCCCGGATGTGTCACTGTCTCCTCAAAAATCGATATTCTGGCCGTGTGGACCACGACATTGGCCTCCTAAAGCGAGAATCATTGGTTGCGTAACGGTCGTCGATTAGGAGCTGTCATTGTTCATTGCCGGCACGTGACCCGGGTCACAAGTAGTCTATGGTGACGAACTTACAAAAACGCCTAATGAAGAATTTTAATATTCATGAGTCGTGAAATAGCTTTTTTTTTGCCGTTGCTAATTAGATCTTTGTGGTTATGTTCCCCTTGTATTATCCTAATGAATTGTAACCCGGGGAAGTCACTGCAGTTTGTAATACAGTTAGTTACCAAACTAGCACATGGTGCATTTTTATGATTGTGCTTATTATGCTGAATTGAACATACTTGCCACCTCATTAAGGATAATTAAAATAAGGGTGCAATCTGGTGCGACTGCATTTCGCATAATAATATATTGCGTATTTCTCCTTGATGTACGTTTATGGTGGTTATACGTGCAACAAATGTATTACATTGTGAATTTGCTAATTTAAATTTGCTTGTAAAGCACGGACCAAATTTTAAATAGATTTCATTACTATATTATATGCACTCATCGAAATAAAAGTCGTTACGTCGTAAAACTATACTATAGGTATATTACAGTTGTAGCCCGTATGGGTCGGCTCGACCGGGGAAGGACCACGCTCTCACAAAACACCAGCGTAAAATTGCAGGCAAATGATAATGTATATGTATTTAATACTAGCTGTTCCTTGCGACTTCGCCCGCGTGTAATTTAGAGTTTTCATTATGTTACGCGGAACTCTAATTCTTTTTCTAAAATATAGGTAACCTAAGTTACTCCTTATAACATCAGCTATCTGCCAGTGTAAGTCCCGTCGGAATCGGTCCTGCCGTTTTGAACATCAGCCGGAAGAAACAGACAGACAGACAGACAAAAAATTTTTAAATTGTCTTTCTGTTAGAAGTACCGAATATATTGGCATATGTATTTAGTAAAAAGCTGTTATTTTAACATTACAAACAGACACTTCAATTTTATTTATTTGTATAAATTAATAAAACCCAACCACGCTTCGACGCTACAAAATCAAACATTTGGAATTTCTGTTGTATCTTTGACTTTTTTCTATATTCATTGCACAAAAGCAAACATTCCGTGTGGGAATCAAGCCCACTGCAGGTATACACTGCGTTATCGAGTCATCGTAATGAATCGCAAGGTTTGCCGGGATCGGCAGATGTTGAGGATATACCGGTACGACGTCCGTTTCCATTAGAATCGTTCCGCTACACTATAGAAATTTTACAACAAAACAATCTAAGACGTGTGAAGTAAATACACATCGGTGTAAGTAGGCTTGTAATGTGTTGATAATCTTAGACGAAATATAGTGATGATATGCAGGTTCACGTGTTTAACGCCGCGTTTTGTCGCTTTCAATCTTCGGACCCTTAAAGCGATGGTCGATGAAATCGAATTCCAATATAATGAACTAAAAATATTTTAACTTGAAGTGTTTAGCTACATTTCAGCCATCGATTTTGGGAATGTTTCTTTATTATGTATTTACGATCCGCCCGGCTTCGCACGGTTGATTTCTGGGTCCTGACAACAACGCCACCGGGTTCAGTTATGAATCTAAACCATTCTCTAATCAACTTAATCACACACATGTTTTATTTTTATTTTGTGGAGCCATGCTGCAGCTATATTGTGGTTGCAGCATGAATGGGTTGGCTCGTACGGGGTAGGACCACGTTCTCACAGAACACCAGCGTAAAATAGTAGCTTAATGCTGTTGTGTTTCATATGGTGAGTGTAGAGAATCGGAGACTCATTTTACTAGAAACAAGGCATTCCATCTCAGTTCTCAGGCGTGACAACGCATCTGCATTTTGATTCTCAATTGAGAATAAATGTAGATGTCTATATGCCACTTACCATCAGGTGGACTGTGTGCTAGTTTTTCACCCTTAATCTATTTAAAAAAATTCATCAAAATCAGTCCAGCCGTTTAGTTTTTCAGTCACATACACATGAACATAATAATTATATAAAATATAATATGCATACGACTTGGGAACTTCAAGAAAATAGCCTACTCCTTTTTATGCTGCTGAAACTTGTTATTATTAACTATACTGTTGAAACTTGGTAAGTAGATGTATTCTTTGAACCGCATTAAGATTTTCACATAAAAATAGAAAAAAAAACCATACGTGTGGTGTATCTATGGATAGGTCTTCAAAAGTGATATAGAGGTTTGTTATATCATTTTTTTCTAAACTGAATAGGTTGCGGAAGGTAAAATGTGTATCCCTCCCCTCTGTAACTTCTACAATAAGAGAATGATAAAATTTAAAAAAAAAATGTACATTATCATGTAAACTTCCACCGAAAATTGATATGAACGAGATCTAGTAAGTAGTTGTTTTTTAATACGTCATAAATCGTAAATTATGTTTCTTGCTGCTACGGAACCCTTCATTGGCGAATCTGATTCGTACTTGTTCGCTTTTTAAAGGCTGGCAACGCATCTTCCTCTGGTGTTGCAGTTGTTCATGAGCGGCGGTAGTCACTTACCATCAGGTGAGCCGCATGCTCGTTTGACCCCTCACATATAAAAAAAAATATCTTATACATATAAACCTTTCTCTTGAATCATTCTGTCTATACATGAAATTTGCATCAAAATGAAGTGTATAGTTTAAAAGATCTAAGCGTACAGACGGCGGGAAGCGACTTTGTTTTGTACTATGTAGAGGAGAAACATGAAATAAACAAAAAGTTTTTTCGCTAAACGTTTTTGTTTTTATTTCAGCATTATTAGTAGATTAAATCAACTTTATGATAATCCCAATTGTGGGTCGGTAGCCCAACAATCTAGGGTGGACACTGCCCACCGGGCCGCCCCCTAAATATGCTAATGTTTATAATATACCTACAAAGTATAATATGCGTAATGAACTTACCGCTAATATCGCAGCCCACAAGATCTTTGGACAAATCTCATAGTCAATCACTATTAAGCACATGGAACAAGATGGGGTATGTCTTGCATCGCCGCTACAAAGCGTATAACTTGATTATCTACCACTAATAGTGTTCAGACGAAATGTTCGGACTAATTGTTTCACCATCGCACATTGCGACAAAACTCGCGATACCATTCATACCATCATTCTTTTTTATAGAATGACGATAACAAACGAGCACATAGACCTTCTGATGGCAAGTGGACATCTTAGACATCTACATTTTACGTCGATTGAAAACAGTAAAAAAGGTTTGCGGTTCTATCCACTAACCATACGAAACATAGCAGCTATGAGCTGCTATTACATGCCAGTATTCTGTGAGAGCGTGGTCCTTCCGCGGTAGACCCGAGCCATTCGTGTTATAAATTCTGAATGATTGGCATTATACCACTGTGCGATTTATCTGAAGTTTTCTTCCTCGCACAACTACCTTGTGTAATCGTTTACCACCAGCGATACTTTCGTACCGATACAACTTAGGAACCTTCAAAAAAAGTGCCTGCTTTTTTTTAAAAGGCCGGCAACGCACCTGCGACGCCCCTGGTGTTGCAGTTGTTCATGGGCGGCGTAGTCACTTACTAGCAGGTGAGCCGCATGTACGTTTGCCCCATCCTATATAAAAAATCAAACATTGGTAGTTTTCCTAAATTTGCGGTATAACTTACTGAATTACGTATGGTAAGAGTTCAGATCGTCCTAAGAGAAAGCATCTCTTAGTTAGGCTTTTCGAAGAATACCAGTTTTTTAATTAGTCTTGCAAATTATTCAAAGATGTTGGCTTATACATTTTCTTTTTGTAACAGCTCATATATAATTATGACGAGTTTTAAAAGTATATTTCTATAAATGAGGAGTTTTTTTTTAAAAGAGGGAATTCACGATGTTTTTCTTTACAGCCGAGCTCGTTAATGAACAGCAAGTGAATAACACCTAAGTAGTAGTGGATCGTATTTATCGTAATGGGAAAAAACAACAGGTTTTTAAAAATAACAGTGAACTATCCTTTTGCTTACTATTATCCTTATGCTTATCTACCGACTTCAAAAAGGAGTCGGTACTCAATTCGACTATATGTTTTTTTATGTGTTGCTAACTTATAACTTTTTATTGGGTGAATCGATTTCGATGATTCTTCTTTTATTTGTAAGCTGATGCTTCACATGTGGTCCCATATAAATTTCATCAATGACCAATAGTTTTTAAGTTATTCTTAAAAAATTATATTGAAGTCGGTTGTACAAAATTTTTTATTTTAAAATATTCTAAATATTATTTCCTTCACTTTCATATCTATAATAATTATAACTTTTAACTAAAAGTTAAAACCAACTTCCAATTGCTAAAAAAGCTAATTATTCGCTACACTTAGGGGTGGAATTTTTTTCTTCAAATTTATATGGGACCACCCTTGAAGTATAACCTATTTAATAAAAAAGAATCATTACATTCGGTTCTCAATCTGCGAAGATGTCATATGAAATTCGTTAAGCAATAGTCCAATATGAAACTTTTTCCCCTATTTTCCACCTTTGGGTTGGAAGTTTTTCTTCAAAACTTAATAGAACCACCCTTGAGGTAAAGCTTATTTAATTAAAAAAGAATCATTAAAATTGGTTCACAATCGGCGATGATATCGCGTAACATATATACAAAAAATATCGGTTGTCTGTAAAGTCGGTTTACTGACGATAGTTGAACGTGACAACGCTGATTGTGGCTCTTTGTCGCTCGTTCTGCGCTCTCGCTTGCACTTCAAGCCTTAAATGGAACGCCTCAGAGTGAGGTAACGCTGCATGAGTCATGTTTTTTCGTGCGTGCAGCCAGCTTCATCGAATTATAAGACGT